GTTGCTTAATCCTCTTCAGTGCCAAGGGTTATTAGGAGGGGACTGCAGACAAGATGAGAAATTGGAGCGTTTATATGTTATAGCCTGAATGAGAGAATCTTCAAGTGGCTTAAAAATAACTGAAGGTTTTCTTTTAACCTATGGTAAATTTTCGATTATCAAAACAAGTATCATAAAAAAATTAAGGTGACCTGTAACTGAGTAATCGTTTCACTTAAACCTTGAGAAAAAACACAGGAAAATGACAGCAGAAACTGAGTGCTGCCTGTTGCCAAAGCACCGAGCTGGATGCACAGAATTGTGCTGGGGTTTAAGAAATAATCTGAGTGAGTTTCCTCGTGTGCACACCTAAGACATATCTCCAAGGCACATATGTGAGATTTCCCACTTTTTGCTCTCTGAAAACTTTGTAATCTATTACATAGTTCAAAAGGGGGGAAGAAAAATCTTTATTTCATGGAAAGGAATGAGACAATGAGTTAAGAACTGTCATTTTGGGCTTGTCATCTTTGCTCTTACTGCCCAGGCTGAATAGCTGCAGGGTTTCTGAGCTGTTGCAAGCAGCATTTGCAGCTGGATATGAGGTGTGATAGACAGCTGATGGGAATTTCAGAAATGAGCTGCTTCTTCACAGTGCTTTTTTAGATGCAATCTCCATGAGCCCAGTTCCAATGGATGGGAGGATGCATGTGAGAGGGGAAGGAAGAATGTCAGCAAGTTTGCTGGATGCACAGGTTAATTTGTACTAATCCGTTTGGGAGGAGCTCTGCCTGCAGCTATGGAATTTGTGATCCACAGTGAGAAAGCTGCCTTATCAGGCATGGAGCCACATGGTCCTGGCAGTATTCCAGTGGCATCTCACTGATGAAATAGGGGCTTCCACATATGAAGCAGATGGAAGCTTTAATGGGAAGCTTGTATGACAGGGAGCGCTGAAGTTACTCCCTTTTCCTCAAGTTACACAATTATATATTCAGTAACATTCAGCGTGCTGCATTACAGTGAGTCACCCAATCTTTCTTCAACTTACAGATAAGATGTGGTAGAAATTGGGACTTCCAGGTCTCAGACACAGTTTTGAAATATCAGTGGATTACTAAAGTTGCTTGATACACCAGGAAGTCAGAGTAAAGTGTGGGAATTACCTGGAAATAGAAGCCTGAGGCCAGCTAATGCCTGAGCTGATCAGCATTCAGTGTCGATGCTGGCAAATGAGAAAGAACAGAAGTCAACAGAGCATCAGAAGGATGAAAGGGTTGTGCTTCCTACCTGCCCTTCAGGCTGTCCTCCCTAATGCCCCCCCTCTGCAGCACTTGCAGCCTGGGACGCATTGCTGGGTGACACTGGGGGGTGGGCTGGGGAGCCTGTGGCTGCCCATTGTGCCAGAGCCGCGTGTCCAGCGGGCTCCGATGACCATCCCCTCCTCTGGGGGAGGTAAGGAGAGCATGAGGGATGGAAGGACACCTCCCATGCTGGCAGCAGCCATCCAGCATGCTTGGTTAAAGAGGATGTAAGACACAGAAGAAGCCAAGTGGTAAACGCAGGTCTGGTCAAAATGAGGACGGAGCTGAGGAAGCAGTGGGGCTTCCCCAGTCGCCTCGGTGCCACCAGTCTCTCTGGTGGAGAGATAGTTTTTCACTATTATTTTTTAAATCTAATAACTGCAGCTTTGACTGGCTGGTAGCGAGCAGAGGCCCATGTTTTGTGCAGGATGATTATTTATTTACTTATTTAAAAATCAAAATCAAGGCTGTCTGCGATTTGGATCTAATTTCACATTTATTTTTCATAGTTTGTTTGCTTAGTAGCTCCGCAGTAAGACAGTGATTAGTTAAATCAGTTATACATAAATTCAAAGACTTGTTCTTCATTTTAGATATTCAGACTTAATTGGATTTAAATCAGATTAAAAAGTGACTTCTGAGGGAAAAATACCCCCAAGCATGCAAAGATGGTTGCTTTTTTTTTAACTTATCACGTAAATGGCAGTAGAGATTTCTATCTTTATAACATTTATTCCCTGTTACAGCTTACAATTCTATTTAACTTTCAAAGAAAATATATATTAAAATGTTAGCAGGGCAGAGTAGGAGGAAGCCTCTGACATATCTTTCTCAGAATAGCCTGTTTTCTAGTCCAGAGTATTTTCTTCAGATGGTAATGAAATTTAAAACTTAAACATTATGAAAGGAGGTCATTCTATGATTTTATTTAATATATTAATTGCTGTGAAAATCATATAACGCAAGCTGTATTAAAACCATGGAAGAGACTTGCTATCTCTCCCAGGAGATGCCCTGGTAGATCCAGATACTTTCTCTCTTCGGATTTAAGGGACTATCAGGGATTTAATTACAGGCTTGGGCCAAATATATAAATATGAATTACTGAATAATGAAAAGCAGGGTCGTGAGAGTTTGGATGAAGATGGAGTAGTTCTCATTGCTATGGTAGTAGTTTGAGATCTCCAGAAATAACGTCCATGAACCCAGCAGAGAAAGATCCTTGCAAAGGAACAGAGCACGATTTGCTCCTCACTGTCAAGCACAGTTTATGCTGTAGGGCAATAGCATTTTGCTGCCTGGCCTTTTGCCTGGTTTACTAAATTCAAACATTTTTTGATAGGCATGTGGACAAACGGGGCAGCTGCAGGATCAGCTGTCTGCAGCTTCCCAGCCTCCTCAGGATGCAGAAGATTGAGGACATTATGCAAAATCAGGTACTTAACCATATGCAAGGCAGGATAAATGTATAGCTTTTAGAGGACAGAGCAGAGATTTGTATTCAGAAAATTCCCCATCTGGGCTGAGACAAGGCTGGGGAATTCAAACCATCTCCCCCAAAAGGTGTGTTCTCTAGGGGGCTTGACAGAGACTACTGCTGCAAAGATAAGGCGAGGCAGAAGGAATAACAACCACCGATTCCAGATGCCTGTGCTCATCTTTCCCATCAATTATTTAGACAAGAAAGATTTACATGAAAATTAATCATTAAATTTTGAATTGCTGCTTTACATCAATAATGAAATAGCTGTGCCAAATACAAACATAAAGAGAACAGGATAAGAAATCATCCTTAATACACAAAAGGAAAAGTAATATTTTAATGAAACTCTATAAAGCTCATTACTGCTTTACGATGGAAGGTTACTGTCAGTGACCTAGAATAGAGAGCCAAAAGTGAAACCTCATGTTTAATCTGTCATAAGTGATGTTGGCATATTAAAATCGTGGGCTGAAATCTGCTATATTCCAAAAACCAGTAATTTTAGGTATCGAAATAATTTTCATACAATCAGGGGGTGGTCTTTCAAGAGTGTGCATCCAAAAATATCATGGTAGACACAAATTTTCAGTATTTTAATCTTTTTAATTGTTTAAACCAATTTTGTCAAGTACATTTCTTGAGAAAAGAGACTAAGCCTACGAAAACCCATTTAATTGATAATTTTCAAATTATCTTCAGTTGCTGTGATTTGTATCATTAAAAATGCTGGGGGAAGGGCTTGGTGTCTTCTTGAAACACTGTAACCTCAAACTTTAGCTTCTTTCACCCCCACCTCCCAAGTAAACTTCTAATGCTCTGTCCAGAAAAATATATGTGGAAGGCATGGAGAATAAACAACCTGTATGCATCAAAATCTGCAAGTAAACAGAATGAGCTCATTATTTATTGTAGTAACATGATGTTGGTGTTATATATAGAATTTCTGAATGCTTGGTCTTGAGAAAACTGCAAACTAAGTCAGATACAGCACTGACCTAAATATATACTGCAGTATATTTGGTAAGTACAAATGCTTTTCTAATTTCATTTACTTTTAACTTGCTGGTGGATCTTCTTGAAGTCTTGTGTGTGATAAAATCACCTTTGAAGGCATACTGTGGCCTACATATGTGAATATAAAGCAGTAAGGAAATGGGAAGTATGACAAAATAACTTATATAAGTTTTAAAGTTATGCGCTACTCCTTGACCTGCTCCAACTCCTTCATTTGCTGCTGTTTTCATTTTGATACAGATTTGTCTTGCCATTTCCCTTCTGTATTTCACCAGTTTTGTACCTGTAGCGAATTAGAAGGAAGACAAACATAAAGTCAATTCCAGTTGCTGCAATTCCCCAGATTTTAAAAGGAAAAGACATTTATTTAATTTGCTTTGCAGCCTATGAGCTCACGAGGTTCATTAATTTCTCAAGAAGTAAATAAGTTCTGGTGGTTTGTTCTCCAATTTATCACTTTTTGTCTGCTTCCATTTTAGCTGGTAATTCAACCCGGGCCTCTTGCTTGAGCAAACTCTGTGAGAGAACACATCTGGACCTTTTCAGCTCGGGGCAAAACTGTGCAGAAAACAGAGGGGTTTTTTTGGGTAGTTGCTCTTGTAATTGGCACCACATGGTTTCAGGAGCACAGGTAGCACACGAGCATGGGCTGTGTTTCACTGAGGGGGACCAATACGTGTATTTTACTGGTACTGGGGTGGGTTTATTGGGAATGGATGTTACTGGTCTTGCGTCTCCCACTGAGTGGCATGAGAAGTGCTCCTGGGCATGCCAGCCGGCCAGGCATTGTAGACATCAAGAGCAAACTATAGCCTGCTTGTTTGCTGTCTTAGCAGAAGGGAAACGCAATTAGGTGAGGAAGTTTCATTAATGAGGCTACTTTATTAGCAGCTTTTGGTGGGCTGGGGTGTGGAAATGTTAGATTTAGAAGATAATCAGCCTGCATTTTTATCTCTACTTAAAATAGTAGAATGGAGAATTATCTTATCTCCATAAACTGCTATTTTTCACATAGTAAATTATTTTACCACCCAAAGCAGATGCCACACAAAGAGTTGTGGTTGGGAGGCATGTAGTTATTTATCTCGGTCAAAATGTCTCAGTTAAAAAGCTATCAGTAGGAGATAATAATAATAAACACATATGGCATTTGGCTAGATGAATACAAGATTATACTAAATAGAACACATTTCTTAAAAGAATAATTGTAACTAATTAGAAATCTCCAGTTATGCTTAGAGTTGTAAGAAAGTGAAAACAAATTTAATTATGCAAGGTCCCAGTTGTGCCAAAGGTGTTATAAAGAATATCTTTATGGGGACATTCAGTGTAACAAATTGGTTCATGTTATTATTAGTGTGCTCGGTTGTGCATTTTCTTTATATCAGTTTAAAGTTTAATGATGGTGCTTGTAGAGCTAATTACCAAGGATCTGCACAGCACTCGTTGGGATAGTCACCCAAAAGCCTTACATTTTTGCAATGCTAAGTTATCAATACCTCCAAAGTATCTTTGACTAAATTCTTTGTGTTCAGATATGTACAAACAGGCACCTAAAAGTGGAATATCTGCGATCGTGTCCCCGGTTCCCCTGAAGCATAAACAGCAAGTGTTCCTTCATTCCTGCATGCCAGCAGAGGATTGCTGGCCAGCACCAGGATTTACTACACTGCACTGGGAGATTCTCAGTGAAGGGCTGGTTATCTTGGGTGATAGGAATGTTCCAAAGGCTGGGAGCAGGGAAACGTGGGCAAGGAAGGCAAACAGTAGCCATACATGTTCCCTGACAACAACAGTTGCGTAGGCGTGCTGAGAAGGAATGCTAACTCTTCATAGTAAAAATGAAAATCTTAATACACAGCAAGAATATCATGCATCTCCTGCCTGAGGAAAAGGATTTGGGCTGGGCAACCCAGATCGTGAACCGAGGGCTTTTCCAGTAGCACTCGCTGTGTCCTGCCTGACCTGGGAAGTCATGGTCTCCCATGGTGAAAACAGATTTGAGGTACCAGTGTAGTCACGTAGGAGCACTGGTCATGAGAAAAATGCTGTGACATTAGAAGGATGCGGGAAGATTTGATGCAAAAAAACCCCCCTGTTATTTTTGGAATTGATGGAGAAGTCAGGTATGGTTTCTGGATGAGGCTGTGCTGTCTAAACCATTTTCCCATTCTTTTCTGGCAGCTCTGTTCCCCACTGCAGCCTCTCTGGAGGTGATGCTAACAACATGGATAAATGAAGCTTTCAAATGTGTGCAAGTCTTCCCACTAGTTTTGTGAGGCCCTGTGAGGGCAAGTCTTTTCTTCTCTGTTACAGGAGCTTTTCTTTCCAAGAGCACGATGTGATTCTCAGCCCCGAAGATTGCTTTCCTGCCAATAACGATCCCTGTAGGCCACCACCAGACTGTTTTGCCTTTAACCCCTCCTGGCCTGAAACACTTGGACCCACTCTCTTCTTCCCCACCCACCTTGAAGATAATCACAAGGCAACCATCTCTCTTCCTCCCACTCCTCCTCCGCTTTGCAGGATCACAATGAAGGGCTAGTCTTGGGAGCTGACTGTGGGACTGACCCTTGATTAATGGCAGGAGGGGGCTGGCAGGAGCAACAGGCAGCACTGTGTGCCATGGCCAGGGAGGGATTTATCCCACTCATCTGACACATGGCACTTAGCTCTTCTGCAGTGTTGTGGGTATGGAGCCAGGGCTGCAAGCCTTGGCTTTCAGTACCTCTGATCTCCAGGAGTGGCCTGTATTTCAAACATACCTTAAAAGAGAAAGGAGTGTATCTCAGCCTTGAATGTCATGTTCCTGGGCTTTACACTCAAGTATGTGGGGGGAGGCAAGTGAGAGAAAAGCAGCAAAGCACAGCATGAGTATTTCTCCCAGCAGATCTGCAGGCACTGTTATAAAAAAAGGGGTTGTTCCTGCCACTGACAGGAACGTGGGATGGGGTAGGATTCACTTCTCACCACCTCAGAAACCTGTGATGGTTTCATCATCACAGCTGCAAACATCTGCAGCTGAACTGGGCACTCCAGGCTTCCCTTATTAGTTAATGGAGATGATTAGCTATTTTTAGGCATGACTCACCTGTCCTGTTTTAGCTCTCTATTTTAGTGCATGATGAATTGTGTCATGTCCATTAACAATTCAGGAGAGAGTCTAATCCAAGCAGCTCATATGTGGACCTCTTAACAGATTTATTTGGATGAGTTCTACACCTGTCTGTGTAGGTTCTTAAAGCACTGGGTGTCTTCCAAGGCCAAAATGGAGGCAGACAGTGAGAGAGACAGTGCAGAAAGCTCTTTTGCTGTCTTTGCCCAGAAAGCAGCATCTTTTCAGGTGTGACTTTGGCAGCCAAACAGTTGTGCTTGTGGTCATTTTGTGCTGTCAGAAGTATCACTGGTCCTTGTCTATAAGCATTGTGGTCTCCATCTGTACAAGCTCCCTCTAGCCAGAAGAAGAAAAGGAATTTTAGTTACCCTCCCTCTCAAAAAGCTGCTGTTTTGTTGACAGATTCCTCCCTCTCCTTTGCCCTCTTCCTGCCCTCCTTTCCCTTGTGGCCCTCTGTCTCGACCCCTCTTGATGCAGCCAGACCTGCCAGTTCTCTGTAGCTCCTCCAAGGTTGCTGATCTTCCTTACCTTTTGCTGAAACTAAGCAGAGAGGCATAGAGGCTGCTATCAGCTGCTACACCTCAAAAGTGCTCTACTGTGAGACCTGCAATGACAGGCCCCTACACGTGACCCACACCCCTCTGCTCCTGCATGGTACAGAGAGCTTGCTGTGGGTTGGAAGAGGCAGCAGGAGGGAATACTGGGCATTTCTAAGCTGATGAAAACAGCAGGAATTCCCAAGTGGTGGCCCATGTGCAGGGACCAGGTGTAGGCAGCAAAGATGTCCGTAGGGATGAAGTACAAAAATGATGAAAGACTGCTTTGTCTTCCACACCATTTTTCTGCGGCTGACGTGGGACCGTGGTGTTTTCCATGGGAATGGAATTCCTGTATAGCACATCTCTCAGCTTCTGGCTGCTCAGTGAACTGCACAAGCTCTTTGATGACACCACATGCCATGCACTGTGAGTGGTCTCTGGCTGCCCATACCCTGCCTGGCAAAGTACCAAACAGCCCAGCTGTCCCAGCAGTGAGGTCTCTCACAGTGGTGGTGTCCATTATGATACCCTCAGGGCAAGTTGGCTGTAGAGGTGGGTTATATGGAGACTGAAGAGTGAGGCATTTGTGATAAATTTGGGTGTCTAATGGAACCAGAATTGAACTTCTCATTTCCAAGCCTGAATGTTGCTGCATCTCTTCCTTCCCTTGCTTTTTAATCTGAAGGATTTAGCTTCAACTTGTTTCATCCCTTATTACACCATATCCTTATCAGTGGTCTAAAACTCTGCTGGATATTTATTTTAATCTCAGTTCTGACCTGAGTGTCCATACCAGCTGTCTAATGATGGTACAGTCATGAGCTCCAAGATCTGCCATCCCTAAGCTCAGTCTGAATCTAGTACCTGTTCTCAACTGGAATATCTGTGTACCCCTACACATTTCCATTTGCTATCTTCCCAGCTAACACAGTGAATCCTGGCTGGACTGAGGTCACTGAATAATGCTTTGTTCTGCTCACCATTTGCATTTCATTTCCAGGCCATCATTCCAAGATAGATGAAGAACTTGACCTGTGATGGATTGTAGAGGCTTTGGATAAAGGGCGAACATTGATCTTCATGGATAGGATTTCTTCTCTATAGAAGTGCAGATGTCCAAGGATGTGTAAGACCTTTTGCAATTGATACTTTATAAGCAGGAGTTCAGAGTGTGTGTCCAGCTGTTATATCAGAACACAGCAATGATGCAAACTTCCTGTTCCAGTGCAAGATAATCCTGTAGGATGTCTTTTAATACGGAATGCTGATATGTGTCATGTCCCAGGAATCTGATTCCCAGTAATCTTTCTTGATGTAAGGAGAAGGGAGCACACACAGCGGGTTCTAGCTATATTAGTTACTGTACATCTGAAATGTGTCCTGATACTAGAAGAATTTCTGTAAGATAGCATAAAATACATGAAATACAAGTCATTTGGCACACTTAGGAAGCTCTGTCCTACAATTCATTCCCCTTCTGCTTCTGTTGTTGCTAATGAAACAGCTGCTCTTTGGTTTCAGGCTTTAACCTATTTTTAGATTCCTTTTATGCTGTTGGCCCTTTGAAATGCATGAATTGCTGTGAAAGAAAGCCAGTGTCATTGCTGTGAGGCAAGAGGAAGGCCTATAGGTGAAGTCATGTCTGATAATGAGATACTGTCTCACCTATTCATCTCCTCCCTTTTTTTATTTCTGTAAAGCAACCCAGTTCCCTTGGGCACAAGGTTGCAATACCTTTCTTGCTTTTATTTAAGCATTACAGTATATCAGCCACAGCCCTTCATTAGCACAGCACCAGCAGATAACTAACTCCCTCCTTTGGGGGACTTTTTTTTCTCATCTAGAGTCCTGTTCCCACTGCAGGAATGTGCTGGCCCAAAGTGGAAGAGGAGGTGGAGGACCTTGGATTCCAGGGAGAGAAGCTGGAGAACAGTGCAGAAAGAAGGAAGCTGTGAAGGAAATCGGAGGCAAGCAGAAGGTAGAATCTATTTATTGGATGAGCATTAAACCCTGTTTCTGTGAGCTGCTGGGTTCTCAGTGGGATGTCAGACTTTGCCATTGTGCAGCAGTGTTTCACTTAAAGGGGTGTGAGTGGGCAAATAAAGTAAATCATGAACCAAAGAGTCATTATCCTGATGCCTGTGGTTGCCAAAGACGCCAAATACACAGTCACTGAATTGATGTATTCTCTGATCTGACCAGTATGACCATAGGTGTGACTTTAAATGTGATATAAATCCTTGCATTATTTCATGGGTTATGTACCACCTACAATTAATTAGCTCAGCACTAAACTAGCTTAAGCAGCAGTTCCTCATGGGATTTGCAGTTTGTAGGCCCAGCTGTGTCTCAGCAGACACTTGTGAACATGCTGTGGCTAACTGAAGTGGGAAGAATCATACCTACTGTCTTGGTTGGAGTGTTGACAACTAACTCATTTCTTTTAAAATCTGAGCCAGGCTCAGCACATTTTAGTTGAAAAAAAAAAAAAAAAAAAAAAGGTATTTTTGTTCCCCAGTTTCTGTTTTCTCCTGAAAAATATTTCTGAACTGATCAAACAATTTTATTCTTTCAGACAGACCTTCATTCTCATTGCTGCAGCCGCTCCTGCCTTGAGGCAGTGAAAGGAACTCCTGTTTGCTCTGCACTGATACACAATTTCACTGGAACTGAGTCATATCCGATGTATCTGCTAAACCCTGGCTGAAGACAAGATCATCTCAACACAGCAAGGTTTGGCTTTCTTTTTCATGGTTGAAAAATGTGTTTTGAATTCTGTGCTACAGAGAAGATCTAGCAACAAAATGTGTGTCTGAGCTGTAATGGCAGCTGCTGTTGCAGCTTCATATGAGTTCCATCCAATGAAGTTTGCACTCAGAGGAAATTATCAGTAATCTGTAACACTCTTGATTTGCTGTTGGCTTTGCCTCGGTTCCTACACTGATGAAAGTGCATTTTAAGTTGAATTTTTCAGGTCCTCTGTATGTAGTATTACACAGATTGGAAATATCTGCCATGTTTTCCCCTGTTTAGAATACAACCATTTATGACACCTGTACAGTGTCTCATGTTCTTATTTGCACAGTAGACAACGAAGTTTAGAAAGCATAGTTTGTTAAACAGAGCATGGTTAAGGAGAGATGGCTGGGAAAAAGCGTCCTTCCTAAGATTATAAGTGTTAATTCCTATCTGTTTTTCCTGACCTTACTCTCATTATTTTAAGAAAATATCAAGCATTTGCTTTCACATCATATTGCAGTTGAAAATACAGTGTTAAAATTGTGTTGGATGACCAGAAGGGGTGGCCTCATGAAGGTAATTGATGGCAGCAGCTGGAGAGATAGTGAACATGTCTGTGAGGTTTGAAATAAATAACAATGGTATAAAATAAGTTTTGTGATTTTTTTAATCATGCCTTTGACACTGTCCCCAGCACTAAATCTTCTTTATGCCTTTGTATAATGCTCAGCAGAGACTCTTGTTGTAAATGAATCACTGATTTGGCAACCTCAGCTGACACTCCAAAGAGTTGAGGACTGGTTCATCTCAGATGACCACAAGCTGAAATTTTGGGATAAATTTGACCTTCTATCTGTTAAGTGGTGACCTCAGGTAAGCCCATGAGATAATTGATGACCTTGAATCACCCCAAGCTGAAATTTTGGGATAAAGTTGATCTCTGGTAGCCTCATGTGATAATTAGTGATCTTGGATGGCCATGAGCCAAAATTTTGGGATACAGATCATCTCTAGTAACCCCATATGATAATTGGTGATCTCAGATGACCCCAAGCTGAAATTTTGGGGTAAAGCTGACCTCCAGTAAGCCCATCTATTAACTGACAACCTCAAGTAACTCCACGTGCTAATTAGTGACCTCGGATGACCACGAAATTTTGGGGTAAAGGTGACACCTCTAGTAACTCCATCTGTTAATTGGTGATCTCAAGGAACTCTGTGTGCTAATTGATGACCTCAGATGATGCCCATGTTCTAACTGATGACCTCTTCTGCCCCCAGACACAATGTTGTGCATGTCAGCACATTAACTCCTAGAAGTCAGTTACAGATGCCCGAGTACCAAATCTACCTCTACAGGTCAGCTCAGGCCCATCCTGTCCTGTATTTCTTTCTCTGAAGTCCCCTGAGATGTCCCCATGAGCCCACAGTGTCCCTTGAAGTGACCTGGGGACCAAACATGCTTCAGGACATCCACTGAGATCATCCTGAGACTTTTGGGCTCCCCCAGGGCTCAAGAATTAGGCCCTACTGTAATTTGTCATCACCCACTTGCTTTCTTGTGATCATTTGAGGTCACTTAGGTACCAGTTATGTTCCTTGGGATGACCCAAGGTCAGTTCCTGGGCTGCTCTCAGATGCTCTCCAGCTCCAGTGTCAGTTGAAAGGAGTTGGACTGGCATGGAACCACTACAAAATTTGCATTTCATACTTGCTCTGAGTGCAGCTTTCAGGCAAGACCCTCTGAGAGGAGCACATGAAGAGCGAGAAGGGTGACCCCCATGCAGCTTCCCCTCTCCTTCCCCTGACAGAAAGCACAGTTTAAAAAAAAGGTAATGTCAAAAATGGAAAACAAGCAGCAGCCTTCATTTATTTCAGGAGATAAGGGGAAGAGTCAACCTGTTTTCCTTAGAAAACTGTTATGAAGTAAAAAGAAACAAAACAAAAAGACCAAAACAGTGAGGGGATTTGAGGGGATTGGATGGGGAAAAAGACCACAACACAAATTACTCCAAGAGAGGAGGAGGGAGACAGGGCTATATGAAAGAAAATCAGACAATACAGAGTTCAAATGTGCAGTTCCAAATGCCCAGCACTAGCTGAAGAAAAAAGACCTCTCCTTCTAGCTTTTCCCTCCTTCCTTTTCTGTGAGCTACATCCTGCTGGAGCTCAGAGCATGGAAAGCATGGAGACAATGCCTTTGCTGAAGCCCAAGATGACCCAGCTTCTATCCAGGTACCAGTACACATATGAAGATGCTTCCCCCTTGTGTTAACTGGTTGAAAAACCGGAATGAGACCATAAGCACCAGCAAACCCCCAGGAAGTCCCAGGAGCTGCCCTGCATGGCAAGGAGCTGGGGCAGCACAGGGCAGGCACGGGGCAAGGCACCCTCCCACACCATCCACAAGCTCAAAGGAGGCACAACCATACTAAACACAGTAAACACTGTTGCAGAACCCCTTTAGATGCCTCTTAAAGGATGAGTAAACCCATACCTCGTGCTGACCTGCAACAAAATCCAAGGCAAAATCCTGCTCCTTTCAAATCAATGTCAAAACACATAGTGACACTACTGCAACCAGTACATGACCATTTTCTAAAATGCCATCATCTTCCAGTGTCAGTCCCCATGCTATGTTTAATAGGTTTGCTCATCCCTTCAGAAAAAAGCTGTGTTCTGGTGCAACTCCATCAAAACCAGTGGTCAGAGCAGAGCATCAGACAGTGTCCACAACTTCAAATCTGCCAGACACTTCTTCAGAATGCAATCTAGAGGAAAGCAAAATACCAGGCCCTCAGGTAAGCTCTGGGCAAACTAGGTCATACCAGTCATGTTGGTTTGATTGAAAATGGATTGTTTGTGCCTTTATTTAATAGTTTAGTTTCAGAGCAGACTGCTTTTCATTACCATTTTAAATAGACATTACCACCGTAGTTAATAACTTTCATGGTTTTTTTACCCTCCAGCAACTTTATTATTTATCTTTAAATTATAAATGTTCTGCTTTTTTTTTTTTCTTCCTAGAATTTGATAATAAAACACCCAGGAGAACCATGCACTTGTGAAAGAAAAAAGCAATGGAACTGAAACCAAACACCTACTTGGTCAGCAGGAGATCAGAAGTCCTGTTCAGCTCCCAGCAACCTGCCTGTCAGTCTGGAATATTGCTGTAAAATCTATGCAGTTATGCTGCCTTCACATGGATACCTCCAGCCAGATGAAGTTTGTGTGTGTGTGGAATTTGTGCTGGGGGGGAATACCTGAAATACTGCACTCCCAGAACCCTTTCCAGCAGCACAAGTTACTTGTTGCTTGAATAACAAGCATCCATAACTACATGTCACTTTGAATTGTCCCATTGACTCACTGGCACCACACAATAAAACAGTCCTTTTCCTTCTGGGACTTAGGAGTGCTGCTCTGTCCGTGCCTGCACAGATGGACACCTATGTAAGCTGCAAGCTGAATGAGAGAACAATGTTCCCTGATGGTTTGTCTTTATGCAACAGACAGAGCCAAGGAGATTATGTGAACGATCTACTTTGGTTAATTCTTCATCTTATAGAAATTTAATGTTTTATTAATTTTATAAATTTTATAAGTGTTACTTAATTTTATAACATTTAGTGTTTTGGGAATCCCAAAACACTAAATTTGGGAATTTGGGAATTCCTTTGGGAATCTGGCCTGAATCTGTGTTGATATCTCAGCTTGCGGGAGCTGGGGCCTAAAATTGGTTCCTCAGATAAAACCCTGTGAAGTTGCAAGGCTGAAGGAAATAATCAATGGTGGAAAACACATGGAAAAGCAAATTCAGTGGGTTATTTTTAAGGAAGTTGTAGTTATGCAGATTGTGAAAGGAAGAGCATTTATTTAAGAAACAGAGTGGAACTCTCCTATTTAAATGTATTGGTTGACTGAAGCAGGAATATTCAAAGCAGATTTTTCTCCCAGTAAGCAAGTACCAGCTGCTGCAACAGAAAGATGTGCAGGACAGTGAATCCAGCTTGTTCCCTCCCTTGCTATGGCCTTGCCATGCTCTCAGAGCACCTCAAAGGCTGCCCTAGGCTCTACTGTCTGGTAAAAGATCCCAAAGGATGAGAATTGATGATGACAACTCTGGCAACATAGACATGTCCCCTCCTGCCTTGAGATGACTTCAGGGGAATTTTCTTAGGGATGTGGGATGCCTTTCAGATATATCAGGAATATTTTAATATGTGGACAATTAAGTCATGCCATGGCATCTCCAACTCAAAAGTAGCTAGTTCTCCTTCCCTGCCACTTCTGCATCAGTAAAGCTACTATTAAACCTTTGTTGTTTATTCCACGAGCAGCAAATCTTACTAGGAGCCAGGAATTACTAAATAATAGCAGGCTAAACAGAATCAGTGTGACTAAGTAAAAGGTCTGAATAAGATCTCAGATGGCTAAAAATACAAACATCAAAGAGAGAAGATTAGAAACAACTGAATGATATCAAAACCAGTGAAGCATTGGTTTCAGAGCAGAAAAGCTTTCTGACAAAAAAAGCAGAATAAGTGCACAAAACTGTTTCCTACACAAAATGCTGGAAGCCCATTGAGGTAGTAGTCAAACTTATGGAATCACTAGAAATTCGGTGCAAGCTAGAAAAATGTTCAGTGAAAGTCATCTAAGAATTCATGCCATTTCTAACTTCTGTTAGCTGGGTGCTGTGGGACCTTGAGTTCTGAGCAAGATATAATTAGAAAGCAACACAAGCCTCAGAAGTTATTCCTATTTCAGCTATTTCTAAGGGCACTTTTAATTGGCAATATTCAAATACAAACTCCTCCAGATATGAGTAATGACACAGTCTTCAGCTCTCTCCTAAATTATTCCAGATTTCTCAGTGAAAGATTCTTTTTGTATGAGGTAGTTATCTCCATTTAAAATAATAAGAGAGAAACTTGGATAGATTCTGAGCTAAACATTCTTGAGATTGGTTTGCAATGAAAGAAAGAAAAGCAGCTCAGTAAAGGAAGCAGCAACAGAAAGACTATTGGAAAGCTTCAATGTGTTCAGAAGAGTGAGCACTGAGATATATGTATAAATAAATATATTTATATCTCCATAAACACCTCAGAAGAGAATGAAGAACCATTTTCTGGGTTGATGGTCTGACTGCAGTAATGGGTTGTAGCCATGAGCAGAGAGCTGCTGTTTGTATCCCTCTCACATCTGAAACAGCACATTGTCCTGACTAAATATAATTTGTCAAGGATGTCACTAGTTTCTACACTTAATCAAAATATACCATTCTTTCATTAGTCACTTGCATCAAAGGGATAATAAAACTTAAAATTCCTTATTTTCCAGAGAGCTCTATGTTAGATAATTCTCAATATGACTCCTCAGGATGCAGTGACTTTGAGCAATGATTTTTTTCTTATTGTGTATTTATGAAACACATTTATTTCCTGATGTAAATGAATAGTGGTGGATTGTAGGAAGCACAAAACCCATACGTGTGTGTTATTATGAAACATGACAGCAAAGCATTTATTGTATTAAGCTACAAAACCCCCTGCAAGACACATTAAATGTAAGGTAAGGTAAGGAGGAGATAAAAAAGCCTCTCACCTGGTCAGCTCAGGAAGTTTAAGGACACTGAAATTTTGCAGGCTCATATCACCATTTCACAGAGAGCTGCTGCACAGCAAATGTGTGAGACAGGTAAGGCTGGGTTGTGATTCATACCCCATTGGAATTTAGTAGATTGGTTGATGTTTTCTAACTCACAGAATCATAGAATGATTTGGGTTGGAAGGGACCTTGAAGATCATCTTGTGCTGTGGGCAGGGGCACCTTCCACTATCCCAGGTTGCTCCAAGCCCCACCCAAGCTGGCCTTGAACACTTGCAGGGATGGAACATCCCCATCTTCTCTTGGCAACCTGTTCCAGTGCCTCACCACCCTCACCCTAATTGTCTGAAACAAATCTAAACAGCATGAACTACTGAAGGGCATTCAGCTATTTATGTTTCCTGTAGAAATCCAAACCCCTGACAGCTTGAAATAAAGGTACCCTTTGGGGATTTATTATTGAAGTTCTTACATTTTCAAAGCAGGCTATGAAATTCCTGTTGGAGGAAGGGGTGCTGGCACTGCTGCTGGAGCCATCAGGGAAAGCCGAAGACCAGAGTTCTACTGCTTCGCATGTTTTTCACCACAAAAGGGTCACAAAGGACCAAAATGCAGTTCTTTTCCCTTGTTTTCCCTTTCACCATGGGATAAGGCACCTTCTGAACACTGTTTGTTCTAAGAAGGATCTCTCAAACAAACTGAAAACGGGCCAGTCACCTGCATGACTTCGTGCTATCTTAGTATAGTATTTATAATACTTTATTTGTGGTATAGGTAATACATCCCTCAAAAAGTGGGAAAAACTAGTATAGTATGAAAAAATGTACAGCCCTTGCATTAGGTTTTGGTGGCATTTTTAGGAAATCTCTGAAACTCTAAATAATAATTAAAAGAAATGTTTTAAACATTTAGTTCATATAAACTTCCAATTGTGTGAGCCCCCACACCCTTCTCTGTACGGGCAACATGACTGGCACAGCTCTGCCTGCCTTTTCACAGGAAGGCTTCAGAGCTCGAGGCAGCACAGGCTGGGGCTCTCCTGGTTTTCCCTTCCCCAAGGACTCTGCTTGGCTCTACCTTGTTAACTGCCAAAAACAGCTCCTGCAGAAAGAATGGGAATTTGATTACAATGCATCAGGCAGGCCAAGGAACGTGAATCAGCATTGTCATCCTGCTGCAGCACACACCTCACAGTGGAAACCACACGGGGAATCAGAGACGTGACAGTTCAGGCTCCAGATTATGAGGATTCGTGAAATTTCAAGGAATTAAGCCTGAACTTTAGGTTTAATTAATTAGTCAGGTAATTATGACATGCAAATGTTGCTTTCAGCTCCAGACCTAAGTATCTCCAAAATATCCAAAGCTGTTATTTTGCTATAACAAGTTGTATAACAACTTATACATTGTAAGCATAGAGGATCACAAAATAATATGAGAAATAAGGACCTATAAAATAGGTGTTTATTCTCAGTATTCTTCTGAGCATAATGAGGTACAGTATTCTTATATCAAGGTCAGTTCTTTGATTCAGTGGTGCCAAGTGGCTCAGAAATGCTGCTAACTAGGCACATTTGTCAATAAAAATCACCCATTTGTATTGAACCCTTTTTACAGTAGACAGCCCTGGCAACAAGCAAAAGGAGGTCAAAGTGAACAGGGGGGCAATGATGCCTGTATTCATGGCCTCGACTCATTTCAGAGATCACCATGTTTCCACTTCATCATGTTTAAAATAGAAATGAATTTCACAAATTAGATTGAAGTCCATGAGCAATTAAAAAAAATGAGTTGTGAGTCAAGCGCTGTTATCACTCAGTTAGAAAACTGGACTGAGTATCATTGCTTTGGTAACACAGCAAAAAATGGGCCCATAATTGACACTGGATAGATAGCTGGAAAGGAAAATAATGAAGTTGCCCAGGGTAAATTTGAAGAAGTGAAGTCTTTTAACTAAAGACAAAATAATTGGAAAGTTTTAGCTAAGAAATAATGCGTAAATGAACAGAACACTACCATAAAAAGGCTTGTGTAGGCTTAGATAAAAAATAGAGCAATTGAGACTTGAAGACAGCATTGGCAGTGATTAGAAAAGTGGAGACAGAAAATTAGAGAAAATGACAAAATGTTATGCATAGATGCCACCTTCTTTAAAGTCAGCGTTTTCTCTGGAGTTGTTTGGAAAGTAAAGTAGGAGTTGGGAAAGTGGGTGAAGAATGAGATCACACCACTGTACAGGCAGTCTTTGATGAACAGCAAATCACCTCTGGATTAGAGGTTTCCTGTGGTGCTGGGGTGCCACTGTTCTTTCTTCACCCATTTTTCTGCTGTGCTAACGGTATGGAAATTTGGCAGAAAATAAACCCCCTTGTGTCCAAGCTGGTCCTTAGTGATCAGAGGGGCTGGGTATGGCTGCACTTAATTTCTGATTTTAGCCAATTTGGCACTGTGAGTCTGGTTGAGTTCAATAAAAACTGCACTACCACAGGTGCAGTTTACCAATCCAGTACTACAGGTCTGGCTGAGTTCAATAGGAACTTTCACAATCCAGATCCACAAATACTATGGTTTATTGAAGCAACAGGAAAGGAGATCCAGGATTGCTGGTGATAAATGCACTAACTTTCAGAGCATTACTATGTATTGTGACAGAAGTAACATGATGAAGATGCAGATTATATAAATAAAAGTATTCACAGGTCTGCTCCAACACATTTGGAGGCACAGAGCTCACCTAAAGGCATCCCATCAGGGAAGGAGGAGAGACACAGCCTGTGAACAGATCTTGAGCAAGCAGAGGTGTTTCCCCATCTTTTTTTAATTCTTCATTTTCTTTTCTTCATCTGTCAGAACTGGGGCAGCAATGCAGGCACACGCCACGGTGTGCCCAAGACCTGTGCACGTACATCACCAGTGTTAACAGGTGCCCAGGCACTGGACTTGGCACCAGTGCAGAGCAACATTAGTTAGCCACAAATGTACCAGTGAACCCTATGCATATATTGCAGCCAAAACCTGATGATTTTGAGGTGCAGCTCACCTGGGTACAGGTGATGGTATTTCCCTGCAATCCTCAGTTGAAGCTCCTGTCTCGAGTGAGTTGCCTAACATCCAGGAGAAATAGGTACATCGCTAATTTAATATTTTTCTTTTCTTTTTTTCCTGGGCAAATTTCTGGGGTCTGTAGGTTTCCTTCACTCTGTCATCACCACTGTTTTTGCTTCCAGTCTTCCAACCAGCTCAATCATTGAAACAAACTGGGTAAGGGAAACAGAGTCATATAAGCAAAATATTGTTCTGTACTCTGCAACCGTTTTTCAAACAGATCACACTGATTTCAGTACCAAACCTGTGTGAGCATTATAAATGTGGGGGCATGGCTGCAGTCCTACTTGACAATAAGGAGGTTTGGCCTGTGATATGAGCAAGATGCAAAGGTGATTTCTTCCACTCTATAAACATTCCTTTTTCAAGAGTAAACCATCATCTTTTGTGAAAGAGATTACCTTTTCTTTGCTTCCTAAGGTGCCATTCAGTTTGGTGGGAAGATGCACCAGACCCTCCTGTTTCTGGGTACCTTCACCAGTAAGAGTGGCATGGCCTGGCACTGTAGCTCCTTCAGGTGTCTGCCCCCTTACACTCCCCCTGGAAAGGTACAGTATCTACCAATTTCATTTTTGCAGTCCTGCTAGGGTGGCATGGATGTGCACACAGGGGAAAATGCCAGAAGCTGTGACTTCAGTGGAATAAAGCAGGTAAAGTTCCACAGGCTGCTTGTTTGTTATCAGAGAGGGAAACAACCTCCACCCTGCTGTTACCTCCCTTGTGCTCCTTCAGAAAGGCACTTTATAAACTGGAAGTACATAAAGGGCAACATGGAGAAGAATGTACTAGTGCTGGTGCATTATGATTCTATGAGGAACAGCACACCTAATCTCCTCATGTGATACAGTTACAGCAGTAATATCTTTTTAATCACCTAATCCCACTGGTTCCAATTTTCTGCAGCTTGTCCAGTCTTCGCTTATGTTTTTCCTCTGCTCCACATTAATTTTCTATTAATTGGTGCAGATGTGCTTGCAGAGGGATTTTTCATTATACTGTTAACTCACAACTAAAAAGTTGTCAGGAGCAATATATCCTTTTTTTTTTGCAGAGGGATTTTTCATTATGCTGTTAACTCACAACTAAAAAGTTGTCAGGAGCAATATATCCTGATGATATTTTTTTGTATATGTATATTAAGAAAATACATTTAAAACCATCAGCAATACCCAATAAATAAATACCAAATAAATACACAATATATACCCAATAAATATGTAATATACATATATAATAGAAATATCCTGTCCTACAAAAGTTAGGGAAGATCTCAAATAAAAGACTCCAAACCTTTAGCTTGGTAATATGCATGTCTGTCAGCATCTTACAGTATTTGTTCATTCAGCGTTAAAATTGACTGAAGGTGGTTTCTAATAACCACATCATCTGCTCCTCCCCCTTCTCTTCACTCTTTTGAATAACATTTAAATCTTTAATACAAGATTTTTGCCCTGCTGTTCTTATCCCAAGGTTAAAGCTTTTTATTTCCACTCAGTAGCCGAGAATGGAGTTTTGAAATAAGCAATAGTGGTTGCAAGGATTGCAGCAAGGTTGGATGAACAATTAAGATAATGGTGGCACTGTCCATCTGCATAATATCTAGATAATGATTACTGTATTGCAACACTGTATGATGTTTCAATGGAATGGAACATGGATAAGGTATGGATGAAATGGATGAGGTATGGAATAAAAGGAAAATCAAAGGAATTCCATTTGAATAAATGTTTGGCACGCCTGAGTGCTGCAACAGCATATCTGAAAGATAAAGGATGTTCACCAATCCAAAGCAGTGTTCCCTGCTGGAGAAGAGGAGGATTTAATTTGTATCTTTTTCCCCCCGCCAGATTTATATTTTAAATGCATAGTGTTGCTTTCTTGAATGCTCAGTTCTTGCTTGAAAGGATATGCTCCAAAAGAAAAAAGTAAAATAAAATAAAATAAAAAATAATAATAAAATTTTTTTTTACCTTTGTTGTGCGAGGGCATAAAGGCAGAAATAAGCTGCATAGTGGATGTTCTTGGGAAGTCTGCACAGGAGGAACCAATCTTTGAGCTGATTTTCTCCAAGGTAACAATAATGTCTTGAGGCAGAAGGAATATGGGCTATAAACTGTGTTTGATTACTTGGCTGTCTGGGCACATAGACTTCCAGGGCATGTCTATACTATTGCTATGCTGTTGTATCCCCTGATTTGAATCTGTCAATCCAGTAGATTTACATTCTCTGAGAAGAGGGACTCTAGGCACATTAAGTACATCTTTTCTCAGGGAGGGAGCTGGGTTTGTGTTTCAATTGCAGCTGCTGTGAGTGACTGAGGTGCCAGAGTCAGGAATGCACTGGGATCCTTAGGGTGTTTATTACTGTTGCATCACCTTTTGCAACCCAAGAGTTTCCTCAATTACATTTGTAGCTTTTTATCACTTCTAATACGTTTCAATCTATACTGTTTATTGAACTGGTCTTAATTTCTTGGTTGGTTTGTTGGGGTTTTTTTAATAAGAGTTTACTAATCAAATTTCAGGAATTTGATTTGTGCTAGTACAGTAAGTTCAACTTTCTTGTAGTTTTAAGATCTGCTACTTGGACTGGATGGTAAAAGTATGCATTGTTTTGCTTGGAGAACCAGGCCTTCCCGTTTCACTACCCTTAACAAGGCAGCAGCCTATCCCCAAAGCCCAAATAACATTTTTCTGAAATAGTTCAGGCAGAATGCATTGTGCATGCATCCCTTGCAATATAGTTGCTAACAAAAATAAATATTTTAAATTCCTTTTGCCAGGCCCTGTGTTTACCAGGGGTATTGATTAAAATTCCATGAAAAAGTCTACAAGTATTACATTAGAAACAGGAATAACATCCCTCAGACATACCTGGCCTATTTTGGGTGTCATTTAACTGAGAGTAGAAGCTACTTGTGACCTGTCATCCCTTTCCTTAGTCAGTCTAAAAACTCTGGGCAGAATTATAGATCTCTAGTTTAGCAGAAGCAATTTTCTGTTTCGGTCAGCATGACACAAACAATCAGATGCTCAAAAGGTGCTTGGATACCTGCTGTGGCTGGCTGATGCTGTGTTTCTTGTGGTCCTAAGCAGGATCAAAAGAAAAGTCATTGTACCAAATGATCGATCTATCTATCTATCTATCTATCTATCTATCTATCTATCTATCTATCTATCTATCTATCTATCTATCTATCTATCTGTCTGTCTGTCTATCTGTCTGTCTGTCTGTCTGTCTATCTATCTATCTATCTATCTGTCAAGCCAAGATTGATTTTTTAACAGTTTCATAAATACAATCTTTAGCACTTGTCTATAACCTTATAGTTTTGGAGAAGACATGTAAACCTTACATGCCTGAAAATATGCAATTCTTTCAATTATGGGAGGTGTGTTCATCTATTAGACAAAGCAATACATTAACCTATAAGCTCAACATAAAAAGTAGTACATCTGTCATCACCACAGCCTTAAATGAGACTTGCCTTTGGCATCACCTTCCTCGTCTCACATGGCTTACTTGTGTCACTGGACTTTACAGAGCAGCTTTTGGAAGAAGGAAGGTTGATTCTGTGAAGAAATTATTAAGATTTCTATTTAATTTTGCATTCCCAATAAAGTTTTAACTCCCAACAGACAGGAGCAGATAGTAAAGTGAACACTTCATCTAATTCATTAATCCAATGTTTTACATTTTTATTTGAAAAGGAGTGTCAAAGCACACTAAAATTGGATATACAGAGAACAGAGAGTGAAAACAAAAGCTTAGATAAGAGTAGATAAGCTACTCCAAGATACGAAGAAATGAAAATCTCCTGCAAATACATTGGAAATTAAAACATACTGGAGAATTTAAATGACTAACTGAACCTAATTTCTTTTGTTAACACTCTCAATAAACAGAGAGGGTTTCTCATTTGTTTATTTTTCTCTCCCTTCATGTGTTTGTGGAATAGTCTTTGTGGCAATTTAAAGATGCTTATATGTTTTTCCGAGAAGTCTGAATCATTGGCCCCTTTACAATTATCCAGTTTTTAAGGGAGAGAAAAATTGAATCAGACCTCCACAGTAGGGACAAATGGAATTTTCTCCTAAAATGATGCCTGTTGAATCTTATTGCAGTGAAATAATGATTAAACCATAGCAAAGAGGAGGTATATGTGTATAGGGACCAATATTCCACATCAACATAACTCAATATATTTTATTTGATCACAGCCATAGTACAAATGTTCTCTTGGATGACAGCTTGGATCCAATAGGGAGATAATTGGGGATAGGTGCTAATGTCTTGTCAAAGTTATATAGTTTCTTTTTGAAAAAGACATCTGGTTTAATTGCTCAATGCCAACCGAATCCTTATAACCAAAGGCAATAATTGCTTGCTGCTGATTTATGTCCATGAATAATTGAAGGACTTGCCTTGCTCTATCCTTGCTTTGGCTTCTGGGATTGAAGGGACCCAGGCTTTGCATTTATTAAATAGATATAATCTTGGTTTTATTTAATTTTAATTTTCATGTTCTTTATTCTCACTCATATTAACACTCTTCCCCTATTGTTACACACAGACTTGTGTGTGTAACAGCACCAAAACACAAAGGTGCCTAAAAGCATGTCTTGTTTGTGGTCCTTACATTTCTTTAAAAAAACACAACTTGGTGGTTTTTCAGGGGAATCTATGTCTGAAATGTCTATAGAAGAGCTCTTCAAATGACAAATCACACTAGTCAGTAGGGTTTCCTTCTAAAAGAAAAAAGTCTTCCTTGTGTTACATTTTATAGTATTTTTCTTTATATCAAGAAACTGCAATTATGATGATAGGTTAAGCTTCCTTTTCTTTATGCAGTCTCAGAATATGCTACAGGCTAGCAAACTGCCATTACTCTTGAAAGGCAGCCTTACCAAAACCTCTGCATGTGAATTTTAAAAGAGAATTTCACCTTATCAGTTGAATAACATGGTCGTTTTCATATTCAAAATTTAAAAAGTGCCTGAAGATAATTTTATTTGCACGCCCCCCCATTCACACACACATATATATGCAAAATATAAGAATGTTTTCTTTCGTAACTGTTTAGGCTCAGACAAAGGTTATTAAAGGTAGTGTTCATGGCATGACTAGACAAATGAACCATGAGTGTCAATGGAAGGAATGTCACCCTTTTCTTAGCACACAGTACTAAAAAATTGACTACTTATATGGGGTTTGCTCCTGCTTCCATTTTACTTGGAGTCAAAGACTCAAAAGGAATAATATTAGATTCATTATATTCTTTCCAAAAATATGCAAAGTGCTACATATTTCAGCTTCTGACCACTTCTAAATTAAATTTAATAGGCTAAATGAATGCAGCATGCAAAATTTATATCTTTAGAGTTCTTTAAGAATATGCTATACATTATTTACTGAGTAAATATTTATGAAGGATTAATTATCTGTGACTAGAAAATAGCTGAATATGGCAACATTCTTTTTGAGCAGTGATTTAGGAAAAGTTTTCCACCTTAATTTTGAAACCTTAGTGCATTTTGCACATAGCACTCCCTTAGAAATACAGGAAAGAAAAAGCTCTAACACATAAGTGGACCGAGACTGAAAAAACAGGCTTCAATCTCCAACTGATCCTCTCTTTTCATCTTATAAATTATCAGTTCTACATATAAGAAAGAGATGCACCATACCTACTTAAAGAGGGATTAGATAAATATTTGAGATTTTTTTCTCTATTCACAAGCAATCTGCAGGTGAAAATAAAAGTTACTTCACTGGCTCTGGAACTTGCAGTGACCTTCCAGTGGCTACTTGGTTTAATACTCAGTAATTTCTAAGGGAGATGTTCAAAAGGACCTCCACTCAAAATCATGTGTAATGTCATGGTTGGGACATTCACTTTTAGTATTTGACCACTTGGTTCAAATCTCTGCTCCTGACCAGGTAGGAAAGGGATGTCAAAAGACTGGATGAGTCTTGTGGCATGTGGGTGAAGGTGTGGCACTGGCTCGCTCCTCTCTCTTTTCTGAGGAGGGATGGGAGCCACTTACACACCTTGCTGTACTCAGGAGAGGAATCCAAGACAGTCAAATGGCACAGGAACAGAAAGAGCTACTGTGGGATAACAGAAAAATTAAGTATTCATATCCCTGATCATAATGGCATGAAAAAGAAATAAACTGCCTTTCATTCACCAGCTTTATCACAGGAGAAGAGCACACATGTGGAAGTTTATCACAAAACCAGCTGCTTTAGTACATAGGCAACAAGTTACCTCCCAGTAACTCCTCTCTCAAAGCCCTCCTTACTTTCCTGGGTAGGATTTAAGCTGCAGCTTCTCCTGAAGAGCTTTAGAGGCTATCTCAGATACCTCTGCTCAAGAAGTTCAGGTTCTTGTCGTGCACACTGGCCTGGCAAGTGCCACTTGTGCTGTGTGTAGGAGAGCCCAGGTCCCTCACACAGCTGCCAGTGCCTCCCATGCTCCTGAAGGAGGGCATGGAGATGCTCAAAGTTTAATCTGTCACACAAAAATGAAACAGCCTATCCTCCCTCTGCACAGCATGCCTGCACAAAGCCATTCAGCCACCTGCTTTTAAAATGCTAGGTGTAAACACGTTGCGTTAACAAAAGTGGAAAACAATGGTTTTGTTTGGGTTTATTTTGATCTGATTTACTGCCTTGCCTTGCAGATCTGGAGCCTATTGATAAGAAAAATCTGTCCTTGGGCTTAAAACTGAAGACATGACATTTTTGTTAATCCTGCTAATCTTATTAGATATCTGCCCAGAAGTTTCTCTACAACAAAATGAGTCAGAGAGTAGAATGGTTATGGATTTTTTGTTAACTTGTGAGAGTTCTTCCCTGGCTTTGGAGCATTCATAGCTACCAAAATGAACCAGCTTATACTCTGCAAACCCCTGTAAGGCCAGCATAACTCACAAAGTAAGGCAATTCCAGCTGCTTCAAGAATGTGCAGGCTACTTTCAATTTGTTCGAATGGTGCGTACACTGCTTTCTGTAGAGGAATAGCTTGACAATTTAGGTAATTTCAATGGACTGTTCACTTTCAACTAAGTTGTCACCATCTGTTCCACCTTACCTTTATAAATGCAAGCAAGCACTGTTCACAGTTTCAGCTTGGGTACATTCCTTACCCTGCACAGTGCAAGCCATCCATCTGTTTTCTGGCAGGGAATGTAGACAAAAACGGGGGGAAATTTCCTCTTCTGATACTGCAAATTCTGTGAGAAGACGGATTTTAGGTAGATTTTAGATTATAATATGGTGGTTTTGATGAGGACCAGATAAAGTAAGAAGTGTTTAAGTGATGTTTGAGAGCATCAGTCTCCTTTTACGTTCCTCCTTACGCTCTCTCATGGGCCTGATAGATCAAAATCCACTGGTGAGAAAAAAGAACAACTATAATGCAAAAAGCATCAAAGGGGATACTGTGATATATTCTCCTTGCCTTTTATGATATTATAATTTTTTTTTTAAAAAAGGAAAATGTATAATATCTCGCTATGCTGAGAATCAAAATAATGCTCATTTTCTTTCTGGGATTATGGTTGTTTAAAGAATGAACTTCAAAACTTCAGTCCAAGTAGATCTCAGCCCTTTTATACCAAGAAAACTGTCATATAGCAGAATCAGCAGTGATACACTTTCTTCTCTAAAGCAGCTCCTCTTTCAGGCCCTTTCAAGTAATCAAAATGAGCTGTCATAAGGAAATCCAAGAGGATTTTTCTTGTTTGTATATTGTTTTCTTTTCATTGCCAATGTATAGTATTAACTTCTAGTTCACTCTGCTTGCCAAAGGCAACCTTGCAAAATGGTAGGTCTGGGTCACACAGTACTTACACTGACTGAACTGCCAATATTCCACTGTTAATTAGTTGCTAATGATGCAATTTGCCCTGACAATATTTCAGCAATAGAAACTCTCCTGTTTAAACATCTTTGACAGTCTTTTTTTCTTGACATATTAAGACCAGAGCAATGAAGTCTGTTATTATTTCTGACTTTATTTCTTCACTCATAGATTTCCTTTGAGACAGTGGGGTGATGGGTAGTTGCAGACAAAGCCACTCATCTGTAGGATTCCATCTTGAACTCAGACAGGGATTCCAGTAAGCAGAAACCTGTTATTTGCCATTACTAGACTTTAGAGTGTCTTGCAGCGCAGAGATATTTCTGGTGGAATGTCTATCACAAAACTGCAATTGCTGTCTGTCCTAGGCAGCTTTCCCATGCTAGACTACAGAATTCACAGCCTTGCCAGCGTTACAGGTTACAGACAAGAGAAGATTGGGATGTGTCCTTGTGGTCCTGCCATTCCCTGAGGATATTCCAAACCCAGAGCTAAGCAGAAGTGGGCCACACAGGAGCTGACTGCACTCTCCATCTTAAACAGAAGAGAGTCAGGTGTCAGGTAACGGCAGGAGATGACATGCTGAAGACATCCCAGTTCTCACAACCATCAGGGTACAAAATTTATGCATAAATATCTGTGTTAGCCACTGTGTCCTAAGCATTTTGCATTTTGTTCTCTGCTCTTTGACCTCTAATTTATATTTGAAACGTTTTTCTATATTTCCTACTGCAAACTGTCGTATAGGTTAAAGTCTTTGAGACACCAATTGAGTTTTTAGCAAGGGAGGACTAGAGCAAGCTCAGTGACTTGATCCACATAAGAGAGTTAGGCACAGCTTCACCACACCTAACCCTAAGTGCCCTGCTATTGTCCACACCATAATCTGTTTGATACAAGTGCTAAAATTGTATTAATCCAAAGAAGCTGGCACTCTCAAATATCTAAACTCTTGGCAGGGGATCCTAAGGATTCCTAAGGAGATGGGCTTACGTTTCACCTCCTAAGAAGGAAAGGGTTGCAGGAAGGCTTTGATAGCAGAAATTGTAAGAACTTTATCTCAGACTGCACAAGCTCATGCTCCTGGAAACAAACTCCTGCTTTAAACAAACAATGGGAGGATTTGAAGCTCAGTTTCTTGTCCTCTGGATCGAACCTATAAACACCAGGTTCAAAGTAAAAAAATAAAGGAAATACACAGGACATTTCTTCTTCCTGTCCTCTGTGTTCAGTACAAAATCTCACCTGGCTTTCTGTTCTAAGTGTATTCATTTGAACAGTCTTTGCAGGTATTATGGGGAAGGAAAAATTCCATTTCTGAATTCTGCTGGAGATTAAACACCATGCTGCTTCTAAGAAAAGACTGCTGTGTTGGCTCAGTGGACAACTACTGAGGTATCCTAGTAAGTGGACAAGTAGGCATCTGGAGGCTTAACTAGTCACTGGGCAGGCTTTGGAGTATCTATATTTTTGATTTAGCCATTCAAACAAAAAAAAAAATCAGTTTGTGTGCTCTGCAGTTAAAAAGACATTCACCAGGCACAGTTGCTGCAGTGCTACAGTTTCCTCTGTGTGTGTACATCAAAAGGAGTCAACAGGGGTTTCTCCAGTAATTGGGATCTGTGTGTTGCTGAATGCTGATAAGGTGGTTTCCCATGCACCAGCAGGTTTCCTCTGTTTCTAGACTCATTTAAAACGATTCCATAAAGTGATTTGGGATCCTGGACAGCGAGATGCATTTCTGAAATTTATTTCATATATCATAATGTGTTTTGATAAATACTGTAACATGTACCCCAATAGTATGGGAACATTGTTATGTAATAACAATATTATGCTTTAGCAAAGTGAATGTGTGTGGTTGCCGTGGTCTGGACTGCACACATCCTGGTGGAAAGGGATCAAAGATGATACTTGCTGGGTTTTTTTCAGTAATTTTATGATGTTGGCTGGTTTCACCCTGGTACCACGAAGCACATCACAGAAACTCTTCACCTAATTAGTTCTACTGATTATTTTTCTGACTATTCTTTATGACTTGATTCTGGAAAGAGATCAAGGCATTTTCACATTGTGATCCAAATAGCCCTACTGGCATGCTCGTGCTCAGGAAAAAGAAAAAAAGTAGGTCTTTCCAGGAGCAAAATATGATTTCCAAGCCCAAATTAAAGATTTTCAGTCACAAAAGGGGAACTGAGTAGGTGACAAGAAATTAACTCTTTTTTTCCCCTTGAAATTTTCCTTCTCTAACCCTAAAAACAATGTAACAGAAATTCATTTTTTTGTTCATATCAATTTGTGACTGAGGATTGATAACTTTCTAAAGAGTTCACAAACACTAACATTCCTTGGATTCTTATATGTATCATTATAGCCATACATAAGAAGAGAAAAGAAGTAAAAAAAGGAAGCTTGAAGGTTTTTGGGGACATCATTTTCATCTGCTACAACTTGGCATAAAGACTTTTCATTTGTTCTTTTGGCTTGCCAAGAGCCTGCACTTCCCAAGTTTTAATAGTTCTTTTGTAGTTAAGACTTCCATGTCTTGTTCTGGCTGCTGGTCTCTTTACAGTCTTTCAGATTTCAAGTCACTTATCTCCTCCTTTACCTGTAATTTATGGACTTGATTACTTTTTAAAGCAAATTTTCAACATTTTGTCTAATCCTGACTAACAACATTTTAAAGAATGCCATGCTTTGTCTTTTAGCACGTAGTATTTTAATTTTTATTTAGTATTTTGTACTCTAAATTTCATTCTGTACAGTCCTTAACTGCAACTCTAAAATGATCTGCATTTTAAAATCAAAATCTAATGCTATTCACTTGGGGAAAAGAAGTCAATTTTTAGCATGAGGATTAGTTATGTACTACCTACGACTCATTATGGTGCAGTAAAAATAGTCCTTAATTTTAAAGGGAAAAATGTTTTTTTTTTCACTCTCTCATGAAAAGTCTGAGCGTATATGTTTGTGTGGTAAGACTCAGGATCATCTGAAGCTCAGAGTTTAATGAATTGCCATCAGTCAAGGAAAAATCCCAGCTACTACCAAAACCCACCTTAAACTGTAAGGTTCAGTCTCTTTCTCATTTTCCATGTGAATAATCTTTATTTCACTTCCTTGTGCAGTGGTAAGTCTGACTTTTCTCTTGGTTTATTCATTCACCAAATGACCCCTTTTAGAAGAGAACCCTGGCAGGTCTGACTGTGCCATGTTTAGTTAACAGTAATTGTGTGAAAATACACACACACAAGCCTCAGATCTATCTGTGAGGGGCAACAAAATTAGAGATATGAATTTATGAGGTTAGATTTTAAAAAATGCATGCACAGCGTCAATGAACAGTAATTGCAATATGTAACTACATGCACAAACACAATTAGACACAGAAACATGAATGTGTAAATGTTCTACTTGCTTATTCAGGAAGGGTGGCTCTAAATGAGCAGCAAATAATAGCACATTTGTTTTGCAAGTGCAATTATGTTATGAGTTTTGCCTCTGACTCATAAACCAGGCTTTCTTTAATGTTATAAGTTAAATGGCATTCGTACATATACTCTTGGTCTGACACTGAACATATGATTAACTGATAATTTTAAAATGCCAATTTATAAACCTGCAACCTTTGCTTTTATATTTTTATCCTTTTTTTTTTTTTTTTCCTTTGCACAAATTGTTGTGTGAGAAAACTTGACAACCCATATGTTGGGTTAGGAGCAATAGCAAGTCCAGGGAAGGGCAGTGAAGCTGGTGAAGGGTCTGGAGCACAAGTCTGATGAGAAGCAGCTGGGGGAGCTGGGGGAGCTCAGTCTGGAGGAAAGGAAGCTCAGGGAGGACCTTCTCATTTTCTCTACAACTCCCTGAAAGGAGGTTGTGGCCAGGTGGGGATCGGGCTCTTCCTCCAAGTGACAAGCACTAGTATGAGGAGAAATGGCTCAAGTTCTGCCAGGAAAAGTTTATATTGGTTATTAGAATAAAATTCTTCCCTGGAAAAGTGATCAGACATTGGAACAGGCTGCCCAGGGAAGTGATGGAATCACTATCTCTGGAAGTGTTCAGAAAAGCACAGATGTGGCACTGGGACATGGCGTAGTGGTGAATATGGTGGTGCTGGGTTAATGGTTGGACTCGATGATCTTAGACATCTTTTCCAACCTAAATGATTCCCTGTTTCTATATAAGAGAAGACACATTAATTCTGATCTGGTTTTGGCATACAAAAAAGCAGGTCCTCCTGTAAAGCCCCAGGGGATAAACCTGTTCTGCACAGTAGAGCAAACGTTTTCTTGAGTCCAAATCTCACTCTGTACCTACAGAAGTGAGGTCAAGAGGTCTGGCTTTGCAGTGCTCTGTGTCAGTGCTTGCACTGTGCATATCAGGCTTCATTATGCCAGCTGGGGGAAAAATCTCTTTTTTTCACTGTGTTCCTTATTTTGAAACTGCTGACTAAAGTATTACGTTAAATCCAGCTGAGGTAGTGTCATAACCCCATCATTATGGGCATGTTGCCACCACATAGAAAATATCAACAATTATATATCAAATTCAGTTAATGAGAAGGAGGAAGGAAAGTAGTGCTTGGTTTTACAAGATAGTTGGAAATCGAATTAGCTGCACGGATACAACTCTATTTTGCAGCCAGAGGAAAAATGTTGTCTGTATGAATCAGATAAGCAGTAGTTTAAAAGTACATTTCCAGAAAGAGTAACTCCAACAAAGTATCTGCACCACATTCTCTTTTACATGTCTAAGGCAATGAGTTTGAGAAAACCTGTCCATCCCACACCATCATAATCTCAGAAAGGTCAAGAATCTTATTCAGACTGAATTCAAGCCCAATGTACATCCAGTCTGGGGACACAGGATGATTTTATATGAAAAACTTACTGAGCTAAGCTCTCTTGTCATGGCTGTAAAACCAGCATTTTTCTGCCTTCAGCCACTGGCTTAAATTGGAAGCCTAGGGAGAAAAAAGAAGTTTAAAAAGGGGGCCAGATACAATGGTGAATCTAGTTTAACAAACTGAGAATAGCACAAAGGCAACAGTTTCCCTTTGCTCCCTCCCTTCTCCTGAAATCTTGTAAAAGAGAGAATGGCTGGATGAGTTTTAGCAGCTTATTGACCTTCAAAAGCTCTGTCTTGGATGTCACCTGGAAAAAAAGGCAGTTCTGCTGAGTTCAAAGATAACTTGGTGTGCTGGGCAAGGCTCAAGCATCCTACAGACCTGCTGGCTTGGGTTTTCATTGTGTGGGCTTTTATTCTTAGGAATTAATCATTCCTGTACATTCATTCAGTCTTTTAGTAGTGACAGGCCTGAGTTGTGAAGCCAGAATTGTGAATAAGACTTGAAATGCATCTCATATTCAGTTAGAAAGGAGTCTTACTATTGCATTCAGAGTTATTAAATAGATGTGAAATTACTGAAAGAAAAATCAGAGCCAAGTGTTTCCTGGCCTTATCTTGGCAGATTAAACATGCACAGTCAGCAACCCTGAGCCACTGTGCTTCCCAATTCTACCAGTTCTTTATCGTTTTCTAGTTTAGTCTTTTTCAAAGACAAGCACAAAACAATTTTCTTTCTTTCTTTCTCTTTTCTTTCTGTCCTTTTTGCAAGGGCAGAACACTGAGTCCACTTAAAACCGTGACGCCAAATCCTGCCAGTAGAGGAAATCACATCGCTTTTCTTGTGAATGCCTTTAAATCTTTGCTGTCACGAAACAGCCAGCAGAACTTGCTTTGAAACTGTATTTTCCCCTCCCTCTGCTTTCAACAGGAATTACTCACAGTACCTTTTGGGGAAGCAAAACCGCTACATTTTTCACTTCTATTTGATAGATACAAGGAATGCCTGTATGAAAAGATTAGGCAGTTGGATTTACTCCTTCAGAGTGATGGAAATGATAATTTTTTTTGTATATAACAACTTGATGGGACTGAATTGTGTGGTGAAGCAATATACTATGAAATGTAAACAACTCTCTGCACTGTTCCTGGAGGAGAGAAGAACCCCTGTGTCTCAGCCCCTGCTACAATGCTGAGCATTATGAGCATCACCACTGCCAAGAGAGCATTTTGTCAGGTTCAGCTCCACAGGAAAACACAGAATGTATCTCAGAAACTTTGAGATCTGTTTTAGAAAACCCAGGGGAGTAGTTGCAGAGTTCCTGCAGTTCACAGACATGTTTGTCGTACAGTGCTGCAATCAATTGCCATCTTAAGAGTCTGCTGCACGGCTGTCGAAAAAAATTTGGGTTGGAAATACAGCCCACATGTCTTCCTTGCTCTGCCAAAGATCAGTCAGAATAATGAGAGTGGAAAACGAAGACTCAGAGCAGGCCTTAATCTGCTGACTATGCTCTTCCCAGATTGGTTTTCAGTGACTTCTTGTTCTTACATTCTGTGACTGTTTGAAGGAGGAGGGGAGAAAAAAAAAAAAGGCAGCACCTTTCCAATTAGATTCAAGTTTTTAGATTGCCCTAACAGAAAACTGATATTCAATAAAATTATTAGGGAGATCTGGCTGGTTCAATCAAGTATGGCATAGCCTGGTACAAAAATAAAGACTAACTCTGAAAGAGCACGAGATTGAGATGTATCAGAAAAGAACCCAAAGGAGCAAATGCTCATGGGAGGCTACTACAGCAGTGAGCTCTTCTGCAGCACTCGTGTCCCTCGGGAGCCTCCACCACACCAGATGCAACAATTAGAGCTGAGCTGGAAATGAGATTTTAATTGCAGCTTTCTACTGCTATTTTTTCACTCTAGAAAAACAAAAATAATAGTCTTAGGGTTGGGAAGGACCCCCCCCATAACAAGATTCATTTTACCTTGAATGTCCCCACTTTTAGCCATTCACATTTTTGCTAGTCAAGTAAACTTGCATGAGAGCCAGTAGAGATAAATGAGCGTTTCTGGAGCACAGCTCATCTGCTTGTATTTACATATTCACTCCAAGGAGAAATGAATCATGCTCCATAAGTAGCTTTTTCTTTCCTCTGAACATAAAAGAAATTTAGACGGTTATTTCAGATGCTGATAACAAGATATATCATGACATATCATTTATATCACGATATATATACTGATATATCTAAATGATGTAACATTATATAAATCCTAACTCAAACCCATTATTTTCACACCTTTTCACCTGTAGGTCACTTTCTGCTCCCCTTCCCTGACTACTGTAGGGTTTTTTTTCCTGTTAAGCGTTCACGTAATATACAGGAGCGCACCTGTGGGAAAAAGAGCAGGGTTAAAACGAATGAAAAGAGGAAAGTTACATAGTTATAACAGTATGGAAATTATAGGGGGAAATGTGGTTGCTGCTCCCTGGATGGAATGTGACCAGCATGGCCAAATTCCCACACACAAGCAGACACCATGGCCAGGCTCTGTTGAAACCCTTGCAGAGGAGGGCACTCAGTGGTACTTTTAGCTGATAAGCAGCACAGCAGCTGAAAACCAAGGGATATAAAAGATGATGTCTTGCTGTTGAATCGGCAGTCACGGTGAAATCACTCTCCTTAGGTGTAACACCAACATGTCTCCATCCCAGGCTTACCTCAGATGTAATACTGACATTACTCACCTTCAGGGTACAACCACCCCTCACTGAGCATGATGTATGATCAGAGTCACTCAAGCTCCACCTAAATGTAAAGAAATGGTAAAAAAGTAAGTTAAGAATAGGAAGAAGTCAGGGAAGACTCCATTGTAACTTCTGGGATCAGTCAATGAGCTGAACCTGTCTTCTCCCCCATAGGGATGCCTACTGGGTAAGAACTGTGCTCTATGCACACTGAATAATTGTTTTGAGCTGACTTTTATTGGGGATTAGAGCTTGTCTGTGTATTGCTTTGAACTAGCACATTGCTTTGAGTATGGTTTTGCAGCTGGATACTGTCACTGGCAATTCTCAAACCTTAACCTGTCACAATTTTATTAATAATGTTATTCCACACACTTTTAGTGTGAGTCCTTCAAGGGCACTGGCAGCTGCTGGCAGCTGCTGGCAGCAGGTAACATACTTGAAGAAAGGTGTGGAGACCTGTGAAGGATCTCTCTGTTGCTGTGTGATGCTGAACAAGTCAGTTGAAGTGCCCTCTGATCCAGTGAACTGCTCAGTGAAGGATCCCCACAACGGGATGCTGACAGACTGGTTGGGCACAAGGGTCTCAGCTTTCCTGGGGCCCTGACAGACTGATCAAACACTCAGGGTTTGAGGAAATCTCCCCTTTTCATGTGACAGCACTACTTGATTCTCCTATCACACGTAATTTCCCAGCTCTGCTGCTTCAAGCCTCTTTCCACATTCTCTCACACACTCATCTCTCTTTAATGTCATTCTGGTTTCTACCTTCTCTGCAACAGTTTATTCTAAAACGTTTTGATTGGGGGGGGGGAAAGAAAATTAGAGATTTATTTCAAAAATTAGAGATTTATTTTCAAAAGGCATTTAAGGATTTTATATCATCCAGAAATATCCTGCTCTGTGGTCACTGCTGTACTTCCTTTATGTTTCATAAAGCAGAATGAGACTGCATTGGTATGTGTCTTTTGATTGTAGATAACGATAACAACCGGTGCATAAGATTAATGTATATTCATGAGTAGAATTATAGCTGTGCATGAAAGTACTACATTAGTGCTTGGTAATCAACATCTACTTTTCTTTTCTTTTTTTTTTTATTTATTTTAAAGTCAGCACAGTCACTAATCAAAGATAATTACGCCACTGCCATTTGAAATGTTTATCATGAGTTCTGTAGTAAGAACAAAAAGTGCAAATTTTTTCAGTACTGTTACATGCAGTACCAACTGAAGCTGGGCCAACAAACAAGCTGTGCTTGACTTTGCAAAGCTTATTTGTAGAGTTTTGGCATGGAAATATCAATTGTAGCGAAGTAATATTTTATATCTGAATACAACCTTCTACCTAAGAATCACAAGGTGATAGTAAATATTAATAAACTATCTGCAGTATGAAATACAGAGGCACTGAATCCCCTCTCAATGGCAAAACTAAGGCACAAAACACAGGAAGTTTCTGAAGAAGTGGCAAAATGCTGAAGGACAGCATTCAGATCCTCTTGCTGTCACTCCTCAGATTTAGACAACCTTCTGAAAATAAAAATGCAAAGGAAGGATCATTTCCATTCTTCCCAAACCACAGAAGGATAGGACAGTAATGTTTTCATTTTTGACTACTACATACCTAAGTAAGTTCTAAAAAGGACAGTTAAACAATAGTTCATTTAAAAATACAAAATATACGAATTCAGTTGAGGAAAATGCCTAAATTTCTAAATTTGGATTGGCTTACGAAACTTTTATGTCTGCTCACATTAGATGGGTACTTTCTTTATAAACCTGCCCTTTCTCACCTTTCTTCACTGATCTCACATACCTCAGCTCTGTGCAGAAGACTCCACCCTGCAAAAACCTCACAATGTTTCACATGACATGAATTTTTTATTAGTCCTCCTTGTCGTTCTTCCATCCACCATTTTCCTTAGTTTGTTTTACTCTGATTCTTTGAGAGGGAAGACACCTTTTTACTCCCATCCTTTCTCCTGGTGTTATGTGAAATGTAAGGAGACCATTTTTATTGTGGATATGAAGGCAGAAGTGGGATCAGTATTGTATGCAATAAGATATCCGATACTATTGAATTTAGGATGGTGCCAGGAGTATTTAACAAGGTCCCAAGCCTTCCTCTTTTTGAATCTTGTGGCCTTGAGGGTGAAGGAAGAGGTGGGGAAGCAGAGATGTTGTTTGATAGGACAGGTCAGAACTCAAACGTGTTTCCATTTTTGGTTCCCAAAAGCTACAAAATAGTGTGATTTTTTCAAGTACCCCAAGACCTCCTCAATAATTTTCCTGTAATTCAAAAGCAAAGATTGAAGTTTTCTATCATAAGAGTATTGCAAAACAACTTGATTACTTAGTCCTAAAGGCAGGTACAAAAGCTTACGGTTTCTGGGTCACAAAGATGGTTGTTCTACTGCTTCTTTGCTGTGTCTCATTTTCAAATCTCATCTCCCCAGAAATCCCAGAAATTTGTTGATTCTACTTGAATGTATGTAAATTATTTACTTTGGCTCACATATTATCCAAATATTAGTTGCATTTTTTCTTTGGTTTTGTTTGTTTGTTTGTTTGTTTGTTGGTTTGTTTGGGGTTTTTTTACCTTTTTTAACTGAGTGCAATAATTTTCCATTTGTGTAAATCCTCAAATGGAAATGTGTAATCACAATAGGTGAAAATGGTAAAGTCCTAGCATTGCCTATTGTACCAGGAAACCTTAACACTTACACAAGCATTGAGATGGGATATTCTGCTTTTAAAGAGTCCCATCCCATCCATTAACACTGAAACAATTTTGTCCTGCTAAAACCATCAGACCAGGAACCAATCACTAGAGGTGTACAGTACTGAAGAGTGTTGTTGTGTCATTATAGTTTTATTGGCACAGCCCTGAGACTTGCATCACCTGGGCCCCTGCAACATTCTGCTTCAAGTGCTGGCAGTGCTCCCTCTGCCCTGTAGCTTTCTGGAGCAGTAAAATCAGTTCCATGCAATTTAGTTGGGAAGGGTCATTCAGGAGGGATCCTAAACCCAAGATGCTATCAACAATCTGTGAATGTAATGATCTTCTGGCACTTTTCAGATCAGTCCTGTTTGAACATCTAGCAATAAAATTAATTTGTGAGAACTGTGCTCCAACTCTGGTGCCCCACTTCACTTGCCATTCTGTGATTCTTCTTTTTCTAGCAATTCAAGCTCCAATAAAACCCCAGTGAAAGCCACAGCACGAAGTTTCTTCTAAAACATAATGTACTGCACAGGTTTCTGCTCAGATTCCTCAGTGGCAGACCGTAGCTCTTTCCATTTTGATAATTAACAAGGCAGTGCAGTTTAATACATCACCTTGGAAATCAGTGGCTACATCCAGCCAAAGCTGAAGGTCTGTTTGTGGGCACAACGTGCTCCATGGCCTGCCTGACAGCCATCCAGACGGGTGCCTCATGAACAGCCTGCACTCTTCCTGCTCCAAGGACAGCGGCGAGCAGCTGCCTCAGCTGCCGGGGCAGGGATCCCACTCTGACATCCACAGAGAGCTGTGTCACCAGAGGGGCTCTGCTTTAGAGGGTCCCTGGTTCTCCAGACAGCATTTTTTTCGGCAGCAGCCCTCACAAATCAAGGCTAAAGCACCTTTCTGAGTCAAGGTTTTAAAGCAAATTTTCGCTATGTGCTAATGCAGAGTGAGAGAGGAGTCCACATCCTATTGCAGCACGGACTAAGAGGCATCTGTGTGTCAGCCAGTTGCCATATGGTGGCAATGGAGCCAGGTCAGGTTCTTCTGCCAATGCCAGTAGAGAGATCTCTGCCACAAAAAGCCTCTAGCAGACGGCACACTGGACGCCCACACAGAACCCACGCTGGCTCAGGAGTGGATAATACTTACTGGAAATGAACATGGATGATGCATCAAGTAATCAGGAAACCAGTGGAGGGTTACAATGCCTCACCACATTGCTTTTTAGGATCAGTATCTTCTCCATCACATTTATGTGAACACTTGGAACACTCAGGCAGTCAGGAATACAATTGTACTATTTCCTATAGAGACAGTGCAATTAAAACATGATCAGTCATCGCTGTTTGAAACAGGATAATCCTTAAAAATGCTTAATATGAAGCACAAGTTCATATAACCCTCATATTAAGATCTGAATTACTATGACTGCTTGAAGAATTAATAACAGAGAAACTTTGTTGGTTGGTATCAACAATTCTCCAAACGTCAGCTTCTTTGGGCCTTAGATCAGCTTTGTTAGTCTGTAGCTACTGAGGTGGTGATGAGCACTGCAAAAAGAGATGAGAAATAGCCCTGAACTTCACTGCAGAGTAATAAACACATCAACATGCCACTTATACTCAGTGTCTGAAAATTAATGATGGGGGGAGGTGACACATGCACAGCATTCACTGAAAACGGGGCAGGATTTTTATTGGCAGTATCCACCCATGTATGCTGGAAGTTCATATCTCTCATATGCTTGAAAATTAGAGTCCATTAACTGGGAGGGGGACAGAAAAAGGAATTTTCATGAGTTATGACAGCACCCTGGAGGGGGGCCGTGAAGGGAGGGAATACAACATTCTTTTTTGTTTTCCAAAAACAAAACCTCTCATTTCCATGAAAATGTGCTTAATTAAAAGAAAAATAAAAAATCTGTGTGTTCAGAATTACACCAGTCAGGATTTAATGATACAGCTGCTCTGTGGATCTTCATGTCTCCAAAAAGACTAAAGCAGCTGCCTGTAAAAACTGGACTGGGAAAAGCCCGCAGATGTGAACATGCTATTGATAGCCTCTGAGCGGGCTGCTGAGCCTCACAGAGAGCCCTGAGGTGGTGACAGACCATGGATAACTGCATTCCCTGGTGCTGGTTAACCTCAGAGTGATGTATTAAGCTAGTGGAGATCCTGTGTGGCATCCTGTTGGGAAGGGGAAGGAGCAGAATGGCAGGTAGCATCCCAGGAATACCAGGCTAAGAAACAGCAAGTCTTGATTTCTGGGTACACTGGAACTTGATTAAGTCAATGCCCCAGCTTCTCCACTTTCATACCATGAGTAGGAAAA